AAATATGGAGGGTCTACCCTGAGGGCACAGAGCTCACTAGCTCTCCAGGCTCATGTAAATGCTACAAGGAATGCTGTCTTCCAAGAAACAAGACGTAAATCGATAGTCGCCAAGGGTTCGAAGGGGGCTCTTGTTAGCGCTTGTAGACTCCAAGTAAGCATAACCAGTCTAAACGTCAGGTGAAGGTTATGCAGCCCTTTAAGGAATCGCTTTATCAGTGGTTGAGGAAAAAATGGAGGATCCTTGAACTGTACCATGGTAATACGAAATTGCCGCCGTGTACACCTTTATGGAGGATGGTTAAAGTCCCAAATGGTGGAGTTCAGGAACTGGAGAATATGGTCTATGGATGCTGAATGTGGAAGAAACGAGCAAGACTCAGCAAAGGTAGAGAATCGTCGCAACTAAGCCGCGTATGATTTTCGGGTTGACGGCCTTAACGCAGAATCGAGAATACGTTGGATGTCCGGGTGGAAAACCGTCAGACCTGATGGGAGATTCACTGGATCCGATGACACAGGGACGACAGATGGATTTGAAGCCTGGACTAGAGTGTCGGATCCGGGGACAGGACCCGTAGAAAGTACAGATGCTGTCGGTAACAAGTCAGCGCCAACTTTTATCGAATCCGCCAGGCTGTTAATTTCAGTGATGTTAAATCCGGGTGGCGAACAGTGCCCTCTTGCTGGGTTATGAGATATGGGATGGATGGAAGTTGAAGATATTCGTCCTGAAAAATGTGAAGAAGTGTCGAAAACCATGCTTGGCATGGCCACCATGGAGTTATCAGCAGTCCTGTGGTCCCGTCGTGAATTATCTACGATATTACTCTCATAATGAGGGGAATCGGAGGGAAATCGTAAAAGTTCATATTGTTCCAAGGGATCATAAAAGCATCCCGATGATCCTTGTCCGATTCCCGCTCTCAAGCAAAAAGTCTCGCATACCCTGTTCTGCCAGGTAGCGAACAAGTCTATGTCCGGATGACCCCAGTGATGGAATAGTTGGTCGCGTATCTGGTGATCCAGCTCCCATTCGTGAGATGTCGACATGTGTCTGCTTAGAAGATCGGCTTCCACATTGTCTGTACCGGCTAGGTGTACTGCTACGAGGGCAATGTCTCTCTGGATGCACCACTCCCAGATCTGCATCGATAGCCAGGCTAGCATTGGCGACTTTGTCCCTCCTTGTTTGTTCAGATAAAAGACCATAGCAATGTTGTTCGAGGTTATCTGAACGACTCGGTGCCGAAGAACATCCTTGAATGAGTAGAGCCTTGAATACACTGCTTCCATCCGAGTAGGAATGCATCAGTACCGAGAGTCACTGAAGGGCATCGGGGCCGGAATGGAACCCCAACAGTTAGGTTGGCCGGAATTGTCCACCATAGCAGCGAGTGAAGGACAGAGGATGGAATCCGAATTAACTTCGTCGGCAAGTCCCTTTGCAGTCAAACCATCTTGTTGAAGAAAAGCTGGAAAGGATGAAGTCAAAGCCTGGCATGTGGGACAACGGCGAATGACGCAGCCATGTGTCCCAGGAGTCTTTGGATGGATTGGGCAGGAACCATCCTGTCTCGTCACATTCGATGGATGTGCTGAGCAAGAGTATGCTGTCTGTCCCGTGGGACAAAGGCTTTTGCCATCGTGGAATCCAGACAGGCTCCGATGAAAGTGATCATCTGTGCAGGAACAAGGGAAGACTTCTCGATGTTAATACAAAGTCCAAGGTCCTGCAGCAGAGTACAAGTTATCTGTATCGAGGAAAGGAGTCCTTCTCTGGTCTGAGCGACTAGCAACCAATTGTCGAGGTAAGGGTAAATTTGAACACCTCGCAGTTGTAAAAAGGCACAGACAGGGGCCATACACTTTGTAAAAACCCTTGGTGCGGTGGCCAGTCCAAAAGGTAACACTGTGAATTCGAAAACTTTGGACGCAACAGCAAAATGGAGGTAATGCCTATGACACAGATGGACTGAAATGTGGAAATAGAGGTCCCTCAAGTCCAATGAGGCGAACCAGTCCTCTCTCCTCAGCAACGGTAGGATGTTTTGAAGGGTGGTCATCCTGAATTTTTTTGTTGTGATGAACCTATTAACATTTCGTAAGTCCAGTATTGGACTTTAACGGTCCGCTTCGGGACCGTAAAATATCTCAAATAGAATCCATGAAGTCCTTCCGTTCGAGCTAATTGACGAATCACTCCTTTACGGAGAAGTTGTCAAACATCGTCGAGCAATGCCGGTGAGCATGGTGTGAACCGGATCGGGCTCGATGGAGGAACGATGTCAAATTCAATCCGATATCTGTGCTGAATGATGGACAACACCCACCCATCAGATGTGATGGACTCCCAAATGGGAAGTCAGCCTTTCAGCCGGTCCCCAAATGAGAGAGGGATGGGTGGTGTAGGAAGGAGAGGAAAGGTTCGCCCGTCCCGTCAACGGTGCTGCTTGTCGCCATCGAAGCGGCAACGGCCCCGTTGATAACGTTGCAGTGGCTGTTGTCAGCGGCACTGCTGCTGTTGTTGTAGGTGCTGAGGTTGCTGTCTCGACTGGTACAGCTGTCGATATGACAGATGGGTCCAAGACCACTTACGTCGAATTTGGGTCTGCAGTTCCATATGCCGAGCCATCATCCTGGACTCATGGATCTTCTTCAGCTTGTGGTCGGTCTTGGAATGGAAGAGCCCGGACCTGATATGCCTCTTCATTTCCTCCAGAAAGTTGCAATTGCGCAACCACACATGCCTCCGGAGGGAGACGGCACCAACCAGAGCCCTAGAGTCTGTGTCCACGTGATGTCAGGCGGTGGAGAGCTGTTGGACTGCGACCTGCATAGCCTCCTTCACGAAGACTTTGGCGAGGTCGCCCTGGTTGTCCAGGAGAGCCGAGATTACATTGTTGAGGCACTGCATTATAAAGTACTGGTATCGCGTCAGTGTCACCTCATAATTAAATATTCTCAAGCCGAGTCCAGAGGCCGCATAGACTCGGCGAGCTAGAGAGTCGATCTTCCTCCCCTCCTTTTCGCGGGGCGCGGTGTGACCCCTTGACTCCTGCCCTGGGAAGACTCCACCACGACCAAGTTCAGTTTAAGATGATGCAGGAGGAACAGGATGTCTTCCTCCCGAAACTGGTACATGGCTTGGTACCTCCTTGATGTTGGTTGAGGATGGGCGGGCAGGTCCCATGGCTGGGTCATAGCTTGCCGCAGGGTGGTGATAAGCGGCAGTACTATAGAGGTCGACTGCTCTCCACGGACGACATCATAAAATTTATCAGTGCTGGGGCCGGGCCGTTGTATGGCATCAATTTCCAGCAACTGAACCAGATGCAACATCAGCTCCGCGAAGGAGATGTGGGATTCGTTGGGGGACCCAGGGCCCTGGGAAGTCACCGTAACATCCAGAGAAGTCGAGTCAACATTGGATTCGTCTGAATCAACCCCATAGTATGGGGGAGCACTGTAGGACGACTCTCAGGGTGACAGGGACCGACTGCTCTCCCTAGTCAGTACCGCTGGAGCGTGCCTCAGGACCGAAGATGTTGGGCAGTCTCGAGGAGCTGGTAGAGAGGGATGGTCTCTAGGAGCCGGGTAATGCCCAACAGAATGGTAGTCTCCCCATCCATGATAGAACGAAGATTGAGGATGGTACCAGTCGTCAGATCTTCTGTCAGACAAGCAGCTTCTCTTCTCCGACTCCTAGGAGGAGACATCTCCGTCTCCGCGTCCAGTCTGACTGGGGGCATAGGTGTGGGAGACCTAGCCCTGGGCGGGGAGTCTCGAATCGGAGATCGATTACCGATGTGGAGCTTGTGGAGGCTCCATTGTTGGCTCACCCACATGCCGAGGGGACCCTGGAGGGGTAACCCTCATGGCCGCCTGAAGCATTGGACCCGGTGGTGTCGGTACCGTGACAGCCGTCAGGACTGATGGGGCTGACGAACCCGAGTCTCAATGTTTGGGATGCTCGGGATTCTTCAATTTACGAGGCGGCTTTACGGACTTATCTTTTTTGGCCTTCTTGTGCTCGGCAGGTTTTTCAGAGCCACTATGCTTCCGCTTTTCACGCCATTTTTTTGGCGGGGAAGCAGACTGATCGCCCATAGCAGATGCACCTTTGTCCAAAGGGCATGAGGATGGAACTCCAGAAGAGAAGGCCGGTGGTGCAGAGGAGGCTGGACGCACAGTTGCAGCCAAGGTCGAAACAGGGCGAGCAACCAGAGGGTCTGATTGCATAAGTGCGCGGTCCCACAAGAGCCTACGGAGGCGGTTCTCGCAGTTCTTCCTAGCCTGCTTTGAGAAGGCCAGACAATGGCTGCACTTGTCTGTCCTATGACCCTCCTCCAGACAGAGGAGGCATAAATCATGCAGGACAGCTGGAGACATTTTTGACCCGCATTCCGCACACTTGCAGAAAGCCGCTCGTTGCGCCATCGTAGAAAAAGAAAGAAGAAGACAGTGCAGAGGGGGAAATATAATATTTTTGGTTGTTGTTTTTTTTTGTTTTTTTGTTTTAGGAATTGAGTAGAAGAAAGTTAATGGACGAGAAAACAACGAGAACTATCAGGGAATATACAACTTGGAATATAACTTGGAAAGAAGAAGAATCGCAATGTGAAGAGAACGAGAAACGGTCAGAGCAAGAGCGAAAACGACACGAAGCACAACGAAAGGTGGTCGCAAAGACTGGAAAATGGTGGACACTCCGCTCCATATATACTGCTAGAGGGGAGGGGAGCAGAGTTTTCCCGCCGAACCATTAGCTATCACTCTCCCGGCCATAGGCACTGCACAGGCACAGTACCCATATGTGTGATGCACAGAGGCCACAATGAAGTAATATACCTTCTTAAAACATTATTTCAGAAATGTCCATAGCTCACATACACACTCAGTAAAAAGGAAATCAGTTGCATGCATATAAAATGAAAATAAGTACCAAACAATAGGCATTTTTTCCCAAGGAAAACAAATACAGCCTAAGGAATCACTTACCCTGAGTTCCCACAAGGACCATTGGTATTTCATTAGTGTTGCGATAGTTGGCCATACGGGTATAGTAGTGGTATACAGTCTGGAAGCTAATTTCATCCTCAAGGCTGAAGACAAATATAACAGCATCCACCCACATAGCAAACTGCAGGAAAAAAAGTGGATATTCAATTAGATTAAAAACACAAAAACCAAGAACTTCAAGAATCAAGTACTTATCAAGTATTGATATCTACGACCCAGACTGGTATATGGAGTAAGCTGGCATTTTGCAAGCAAGCTGGTGACACTGTAAGAACTAAATAAATATTGTTGAAAGATGCTAAACTATGAATATAATCCTAGAATATGAACACAAGATATGATTTGACAGCCACTGACAGTAACCCAAAGAATCTCCCTGATTATGCAGTACATTTGCACAAATTATTTGACCACAAACAAAACATTTAAACCTCAATATTTAACCTTTTCAAGCAGTGTTGCTTGAAAAAAATGAATTTGATATGCAAACAATTCACAGATTTCTTTATTGATTGAAAGCATTTTTAACCTGTTCTTCATCCCTGCAGATACCAGGAATATGCTTCGAATCACCATAACATAAAAACAAATCACAATAAATCCCAAAGGACAGCAAATTCAGCCAGGTGAGATCAGCACATTAAAATGTACTGCTTTTAACCAAAGTCAACCCTATCAGAAGTGACACTTGTACATAATGTTTCTATATTATTTTATAAAATATATTTATTAACACTCAACAGCTGAAGCCCTTTGGCTGATTCAAACAGCACATAAAATACAAATAAAAATACTATACAGATAATAAAATCATCAACAATTCACTACAAGATTTAAATTTAAAACTAAATTTAAAACAAGCAAGCAACAGAAATTTTTAAAAAGACCTGTTCAATAGCTGATCTCAGTCCATTATTTAGAGCTTATTAAAGACCTTGTCACAGAGGACATGCTTAAGATGGAGCTAAAAGGACAGCAGAGTTGGTACCAGGCAAGCCTCTGCAAGAAGTTTGTTCTATAATTGGAGCAGCAGCTTTATTTTAAAAGGCCCTCCTCACCGCCACCAATTCAGCCTCCCTTGGAGGCACCTAGAGCCACTTGGTCACCAAATATCCCTTGCCCAGCATGGCAACCTTGAGACAGCTTCTCTCAGCTCAGGAAAGGAGACTTGGATCATTGGGTGGCCCAGCACAAGATGCAAGCAATCTGGGTTAGGAACCAGACATACAGGAAGCCAGGAGAAAGAGTATTCCCACAGAACACAACACCCCCTCCCCAACCCTCCTGTCTACCCTGATGCTGCACCAACTACTCCATTAAATAAATGTAGCTGAACAGATTGACCACTGTCTGTTCTAGTTACTAGATATGCAAGCCAAGTCACTTGCTCATCTCCTACTAAACTGTGGATAAGGACATCTTATTCTGTACCTATCTGGCATTGAAGAGCAGCACCTGGAGACCAGTAGGCAGGCTGACAGGGTCATTATTAAACTTGTAATTGCAAGGAAGTCTGGAACACAGCACATTAGTCAATCTCCTGGGCCATATTTCCTGGGCCAGTCCTGCAGGCAATGCTGTATTGTTCCTCTGCTCCTCACTACCTCAATTCCCTCCTCAAATTTCCCTACCTGGTCCCATAACCTCCTTCACTGGCATGCAGCCAAGCCCTATGAAGGAGGAGAAAGACTTCCCCCTTTGTTTTACTGCTCAAACAAACACACAGTACTCAGCCTGAAACTGTACAGCAGTGCCCAGAACTAGTCAGTTGCTTCAGTTGAGAAAGCAAAAGAGAACATGCATTTTGTAAAGCTGACCATTAGCTGGATCGAGCTCTGTGGACACAGCAGCTGACCACTGCTGCAGCAGGAACAGACCCCCTTTTCCTGCCCTATTTACAGATGCAGATTTCTGTGCTCAAAAGTTTGTTCTCCTCTTCTCCCTAGGAGTTAGGAGTGGAAGAGGAAGGGTACTACTCATGGGAGGCAAAAGAAAGAACTGAACCACTCACTCCCCTGAGGGTGACAACCTTCCAAGCCTGGAAAGGAAAGGGGTGAGAGGAAGTTGAAAGGAGGAGAACTGTAGATGGGAAAGGTTCTGCCTCAGCCTGATTTGAATCTTGCCAACTCCTAACAGTCCTTGCACCTGATTGTAGCAAGAAAAGGAAAGATAATTGCTGGCAGAAATCAAGCAGGTTTGGGAGATAGAGAAGTCCTCATTCTGCATGTACGCATACAGCATCTAAACATTCACAAATCACACACTCCCATGTACAACCAGCCTGTAAACCACACAGGATATGGACACCAGGAAACAGCATTGTTTATACAATCAACTGATACTGGTTTTTGTTGCTGGATTCATCACTTTTTCTCATGGAAATAAGAAGCAGTTTTATCATGGACAGACCTTCTCCCAAGCCAATAGTACATCTGTCACAAGTTATCGCACTTATTCATATTTTAAAAATAAAGTCAGAAGTCAGGTCACACACTTATCAACATGCTAATAACCAGAAAAAACACAAAAATGAATTAAGACTTCATCTAGGCATCCTGACACACACACACACACACACACACAGAGAGAGAGAGAGAGAGAGAGAGGGAGGGAGGGAGGGAGGGAGGGAGGGAGAGCACTTCTGTCACCTGAAGTGCATTACTTATTAATTCTAGAGGGACTTGCTCTTATCAGCCATCCCCTTCCATCAAGTTAAGTATCTTTACTATACATAACTGAACAGTTCTATCCTGTCATACCCTATCTGACTTCATCATACCAGTGAAAACAAAAGTTAAATGGCCAAATCCACTTTGATGGGTAGTCTCAATTCAGGCCTCACACATTTCTGAATGTACATATTAAGTCAATTTTTTCAAAGTCCTTAATGTCATTAGTACATAGTGAAATGTGCATCAATCCCAATTCTTTCACTAAAATGTCAAGGAGGAATTACCAATATGAGGCTCACCCTCCACTCAGCCCTTGGGCCAAAGACCAAATTTTGCTGCATGCAGGCTATTCCTATCCTTACACACAGTAAAGCCAAGCCAAGCAAACCCCCAGCATGTCTTTCTTGGAAAAATAAGGACACTCTTTGGTTCTGGCCCAATTTCACCAGCAGTTTTCCCCCAATGGTGAAGAATGCAAGGCAGGCAAAGCTGAGCTCATCAAGTCCCTTTCAGTCCACTGTGAGATCAAGAAAGTACATATGTAGCAAAGAAACAGTACAGGGAAAGGCACATAGCTTACCTGTGACTGTTGTTCGAGTGGGCATCTGTACATTCATACATCCAGGCTTTCACACCTGTGCGTAGCCTAGAATTGGGAAAAGCCTCTAAAGCTGAGCATTCAAATTGGGTGGAAGCCCTTCCCCTTCCTGTTTCCCTCATTTCCTAAGCAGACCGCCATGCATCACTGGACCAAGGCAGTGAAGAAAAGCAGGAGGGAAATTCCAACCCACTCCAGTCCCAGGTGTCCATTGACAGTTGAGGAGTCATTGTGTAGGAAAGAGGACAACAGCAAGTGGGGGCCAGGGAGTGTGCTGTGTGACTACACAGATAACCACTCGAAGAACAAATACAGATAAGAAACCTGCCTTTCTTTCTTGTGGTCTCCGTGCATCACACATACGGGAGACTAGCTAAGCTTACCTTGCAAAGGATGGAGCTATCACCATTGGAGAAGGAAGAAGAGTATTGCTCTGCTGAAGGCACAATCAGCTCTAGCACGGATGTCCAGCTGATAGGGCCTGCTGAAAGTCAAGGGCGTTGACCACATGGCAGCTATGCAAGTATCCTTGAATGGGTCCCCAGCAAGGAGGGCCATGGCAGGGCTCGTGTGGAGTGAGCCTATGGTGTGTGGTTAGTGGAAGGCCAGCCATCTCATATGTCAGATGGCTGATGGTGTTGGACACCCATCTGGATAGTCTCTGGGTGACTACCTTTCTTCTGCCCATCATAGCACACAAAGAGCCTGGTGAGTGGCAGAACTGCTTGCTTCTGGACTTGTAGAATGTAAGGACCTTCCTGACATCAAGCAAATGGAGAGTGGACTCTACTGGAATGGATGGGTCAGCAAAGAAGGCAGGAAGCACTGTGTCTTGGCTAAAGTGGAAGGAGGAGGTGGCCTTGGGCCAGAAGGCCAGGTCCAGACATAGGACAGCCTTGTCCCCTGTAGAAATTAAGATGGTGGGTCTGTCCAGGGCACAGAGATCACAGGCACAGCAGGCTGAAGTGATGGCTACTAGAAAGGCCTCCTTCCAAGATCAGTTGTAACCAGGGGCAAAAAGGGCTTTCTGATGCGGGCGTATAATACAACCAAGAGGTTCTGTGCTGGGGTGCAAGGCCAAGCAGAGGGGGAAATGTTGAGGAGTCCCCTCAGAAATCTGCACAGCAGTCCATGTGCAAAGACAGATGCCCCTTCAACAGGTGGATGGAAGAAGGAGATTGCTGTCAGGTACAAGTGTATTGAGGAAGTGCTGAGTCAAATGAGGAAGCAGGCCTGGACAAATTGGGGGATTTGTTCCATTGAGGGGCATAATGGGTCAAAACCTTTCTGCTGTGCAAACAGGGTGAAGATGTTCTACTTAGCCACATAGGACTTTCTTGTGGATGGTTTAAGAGCAGGGTCCAGCATTGCGGACACCTTGGGTGACAGGGTCACACTCCCATGTGTGTGGGGACAATTCTCCAGGCCGCCAGGTTAATGATGTAGCCCCTTGTCTTGGAAGATCAGATTGTGGGAGTGTGGGAGGGGGAAGAGATTCCCCCAGGAGACTTGGAGGAGTGGGGGAAACAATGGCTGCCTCAGCCACCATGGGATGAATAGGAAAGAGTTGGTCCTGTCCCTCTGGATTTTGGAGATCACCTTGGTGATCAAGGAGGGATGGTGAGATGTGATACAGGGTCCCATTCCATTTGAGGAGGAAGGCATCCCCAAGGGAGTCTGGAGCCCTGGAGCAGAACCTGGGGCAAGTTGTGTTTTGCAGAGTGGCAAACAGGTCTACAGCCAATGGTCCCCACCTATTGTGTAAGTCTCATAGGACCAGTTTATTCAGTTCCCACTTGTGAATGTCCAGATGTGTGTGACTGAGGGTGTGCCACAATCAAGGCTGCTATGAAAAGTCGCCAACACCATCACAGAGATGGTATCAGAAAAGTAGAAAAGAGACAGGGAGAAAACAGAGAGGAAACACAGAAACTGATGGTGGGAGACAAGTAATTAATACTAAAATGGAGTGCAGGTAACATTTTTGGAGTTTTTATAATGGAAAAGAGTGAAAACAGAGAAGAATTATTGAGAATAAATGGTTTGAAAAGAAAGGAAAAGAAGGGAACATAAAAGAACACTACGTATCTAAAGATGAGCAAGAGAGAAGCAGTTGCTAGTCTAAGCTTGATGATGGTCAAGGAGATAGGTGAGGACCCCTCCCAGTGCTTTCTGGAAACAAGGGGAGGGGCTTCCACCCAACTTGAACAATCAAGTGTAGAAGCTTTTCCCAGTTCCAGGCTTTGCACAGGCACAAAACCCATACGAAGAAAAATCCCCACCTCTTTCCTAACACACAGTAAGGAAGAGGCAGAAGTGGCACAAGTTTCCTACATGCTGGGTGCAGGCCAGAGATTCCACATTTCTGCCTTGCAGCAATAGACTCGTTTTCGTAGGAGTCAAAGCATGGCGATATTAACGACTCGGTAGTATACCAATGAAAAAACCATATCCTATATGCAGGCCTCCATTTGTGTGGAATTATTAACACTCATTCCAACTTACACTAATTAGCATATATTATTATTATTATTATTATTATTATTATTATTATTATTACATTTCTATGCCGCCCCTTGCCGAAACCTCGGGGCAGCTTACAACACAATAAAATACATTGAAATACAATAGAACATAATAAATTACCATTAAATACAAAAATACAAAAAATACATTGATTTACAAATATAAGATTAAAATTATCATTATAAAATAAGTAAATAAAAATATAGGAGGAGAAAAGAGAAGGAAGAAGAAGTTGCCCTGGCCAGATCATATGTTTTAACAACTAAAATGATGTTTAAATAAAAAGGACTTTACCTGGCGCCGAAAAACCAGTAACGACGGTGCCAGGCGGACCTCTTTGGGGAGTGAATTCCATAGGTTGGGCGCCACCGCAGAGAAAGCCCTCCTCCGGGTACTTACTCTCCTAATTTCTTTCATGGAGGGTTCCTGGACAAGGGACTCTCCCGCAGATCTCAAAGGGCGGTCGGGCATATACGGATGTAAGCGCTTGTTCAGGTAGCCAGGACCCAAGCCGTTAAGGGCTTTATAGGTCATAATCAACACCTTGAATTGGGCCCGGGCTTCAATGGGAAGCCAGTGAAGCTGACGGAGGACTGCAGTCATGTGAGCATAATGCCCCGTCCCCGTCAGCAACCTGGCAGCTCTATTTTGCACCAATTGAAGCGTTCGGACTGTCTTCAGGGGAAGCCCCACGTAAAGCGCGTTACAGAAGTCTAGGCGGGAAGTCACCAGCGCGTGTGTCACCGTCGCCAGGCAGTCGTACTCCAGGTAGGGGCGCAGCTGATTAATCAGCCAAAGCTGAAGGAAGGCGTTCCTCGCCACCGCTGTCACCTGAGCTTCCAAAGAAAGCTCCGGGTCGAGGAGTACACCTAAGCTGCGGACCTTATCCCTAA